AGATTATATATATCTATACTCCTCATATAACAAGCTTTACTTTGATCTATAAACTATTATTATAGAATATAACATTCGTGAGTTATACCCAGTCTATTAATTACAGTCTCTCACATTCACAGTCATTTTTGGCTAGATCTTGTACAAATGTTTGTCTTTCTGTTTTATGGTACGATGTGGTCTGTTTGTGTCGTATAAAAACCCAGTAAGTTTGAAATATAGTGGAAGCTGAGATTGGTGTTCTAGACTAAACAGGCAGGTCTAGGCGAGAAGAATGACCGATAAAGACTCTAGTTTGCTCGTATATGTTTTATACTTCACTGATCCGGTCGATTAATCACTGTTCTCTAATTAGTGATATCATTACGTTACATATATTAATAGGACGCGATAGAGTAGAAATGATAGTTGTAAACGTATTGAGTCATCTATTCCTGCTACACAAACGGTATATAATAAATAAATTGACACTATCTTCAAACCTTAGACTCATGTGTTTGAGTAGTCAGATAATCTATATTTATAATGACACATTTATGTTTACCGACAAAGTAACCTTTACAGATGTTTGGTAGGATTCATTCTATATGTGAAATCTGCTTGCCTTTTACAATCACTGATGTTTTGTTTGCCATCAAAACTATTCAACTAACTGAAAACTCATCAATTTTACTTTAAATCTAGTCTCGAACATATAAAGGATGGTTTCTTCAGAGTAAATTGCAATGAACGGTTGTAGAACTTTGGCCTCATGCTCAGCTGTGTACATTCACAACCTAGAGATGGATCAGAGTCTGGAAGATATTCAAGCTGGATGATGAGTAGACCATTATACAGTTATTAGCTCTGATCAATTGTGTCTGTACCTCTAATATTGTAGTTTAACTGGAATATGACAGGAAGATAATGATTCATTTTAGCTAGGAAACATTTTTAATTTCATCTTAATTGGTTTCAAAGGTGATGACTCTCTACATTAGAATATTGAATTAGCCGAGTTAGAAAGGATCTATAGAGAAGAAGTTCATTCACGATTACTTGGAAAGAAGTGTATTACGTAATACTCTTTTTAAAATCAATAAATCTCTATGATTCCGTAAGGAGACGGTAGTCTATGAAATGTTTTATTCCTCATCATCGAGTGTTATATCAAGCTTCCAAGCCCTTGGTATTTATGTCCAGTGATTTATAGATTACTGTTTAGTCGTAGCGTGGAATATCTATGAAGCATTCATCCACAATACTGCCGATGATCAAATCCATTACATTTTGATCTAGTGGTAAATGTTTAACCTTTAGATCACAAAGTTATTAACGAATAATTTACATTTTTAACTCCAGTGAATTCGTGATATTGCCAAATCATCTTCTAATATCATTGATATGTGACTACTTTACACTTGACATATTCAAACGGCTGAGGAATCTTATCTAGAATAAAACAGCTCTCCAATGTTTTTACGGTTTCTTTTTTAGTTAAAGTAATAAATTACTTCCAATATTTTATGTAGAGATTGTTATCTTAAAACCCAATTCAATCACTCTTTATTCTCTTTGAACTTACCTTAGTAACATTCTTTGTACAAATCCCTTAGTATTTGATACTGATTAATATTTACCATCTTGTCCCATAAACATCATACTAGTTTAGTGATCGGATGCGATGTGACGTAACTCATGTTTCCATTTTTAGGGACTTATTATTATTATTGTTATCACCACCCATAGTTTACTTATCAAGATCACTGTACAAATTCGATATAATACTTCGTGAATAATCTAACACGCAGGATTTTACTGTCATTATTTCTCAGCTTCAATCAATTAGTCGACTCAGATGCTATTCATAATGATTCGACAGATTTAAAATGCTACTTTTAAGAATTGATCGTTTCTTTTTTTTACGTACTTGAACATGATATTTTTAACATTTTAAACACGTTTTGTCGTGTATTCTTCACACTACATTTAAGTAACCTTACGTAATGGTACTGTGGTGCATGCTACTTATATTGATATAAGTAGTATATGGCGCGAGTCAGGAATGTAATGTCTGGCAGCAGAAGATGGGGAAGATCAAGGAAGGAAGAAAGGGGAATAGAAAGCAATTAATATGGAAATGCAAGAACAACGAAGTTCGAGACAATTATTGATCATTTTGCAAACTAAGTATTATAGTATGGTAACTCTGTAATTCGTGCTAAAAATAATTCGGTTGTCCTCACCTGTGTTCTCCTTCACTACAGTACTACATAGCCATCCTTTTAATTCAGCTTGGCAATATATATATATATATATATATAGAATGGCTAGGTTTGCTTAAATAATATTTACTAGAATTTCCAACTACTGAGGTAGATTTAATAACTTAAATAACGAAACGGAACGTAATATGTAAGGATTTAGGTTGGTGGACTCGAGATTATCATATCAGTGTTCTCCTGATAGTCTTCATAAATGAGCTGACACTTGGCATTTTGAAATTATGCTTTACTGACAAATGTCAGTGATCCTTAAAATGACCCTGAAAAGTGGTAAACGTTTTTAGGTTTGTCGGGATGCAAGTGATATATATATATTAATAATATGTTGTACAAAAACCCGAAAATGATTAACATGAAAACTAGACTTTTGGGTTTGAAGTTAGGGTTAGAATTGATGATTAGGGTCAGGATTCAGGGTTAAAAGAGGGGATGGGTGTTCGATAATCGTAGTGATAAACAGTTATGAAAATTATCACGAAAACTCAATAAATTATGTTTAAATACCACGTATATCTTAATTTTATCTGCCTTTTCATTTCAAACTATTCATTTTTCCATTGTCATCTTAGGATTTCAGTAGTTTTTAAGTTACAAACTGATCTTGGACCACCATTGATTGGCGGTAAGCATTGTACAGTTGTTTTGGTGAGACTGTAATTTATGGACGACATTTGAGCGACGCTAGACTTAGAGATTGGGAGTGCCCATCTGATAACTAGGATCAAATGAGGGTTATAAACAAGCAAGATGAATTAGAATTATGATTTACAGTTGATGGTTAAGGTTACGAATAAGATTTCGTGTTTTTATCAAGAACTGACATCGGCTATATTGCCAAGACTCAGTCAAATGGATGAGTGAATTTCACACCATAATCCGAGACTTGTTATCTTATACCTGATTGATTCATCCACAAATTATAACCTTGCTTTTGTTTTGTTCTAGTACATGACTTCTCACTAGTGTGTACTCACGATCCAACCACTGAGAATAGAATCCAGTACCTTCAATCTTGGGCAAAAAATCTTGGAATTTGCTCAGTGTCATTGATCTCACAATTTCTTTCATTAACCAGTCTTAGTAACTACGTTTTAATTATCAACGACTTAGTTTTCAACAAGTTACGAGCTATCCGTTATCGCATTTCAACTTTTCACATAAAAATCTGACATCCACTATTTTAAACTTGATAATACTTCAGGAAGTATACTGTTATCTTGAAAATCAATGAAAGATGATATAGTCTCTCGAAACTGTTATTCTTTATGATTAAGTTGAACATTTAAAGAAACTACTTTCCTATAATTAATCAATCCCGGAATATAATAACAACAATTATTATAGACGTCTTCTTATCTTATTAGAACTCTGTAACTAAGTGAATAATGTGATAACATTTGAAACTAACAGTATTAAGTTTAAGTCCCAGAGTAAAGTATCAACTCTGAGATGTAGGTACATACAGTTGATAAGTCTTAAAAAGAATATGTAACTTATGTCATAGATTTCAATGTTTGTTACCATCTATCTTTACTTATATTCTCTGTTTAACTGTTTATTTTATTAAGAAATGAGAAAAAAAGTTTTTTTTTAATTATTTTTTATGAATTCTAATAAACTTGAAAAGAATAATCTATTTTTATGACAATTCTGTTTTATCAGAAGTGGTTTGTGGAGATTTTAGAAATTTCGCTGATTGAAATCATGAGTCAATTGAAACTAGATCACCATGGAAAACATGGAAGCACTGGACGGTCGTTTTTTCCTAGTATGGGACTCCTCAACAGTGCGCATCCACGACTTCGCCTCAAGAGATTCGAACCCAAGACCTACTGATTTCTAGCTTCAAATGACTCATGATCTTAACCATTGAAATTACTATGATATCCACAATACCTATCTGATATTAGTCAACATATGCTCATAAGTGACTGGCTTCGTGAAGTATATTCTGGAGTTCTAGTGAGAAGTATTCACCAGTGGAGTTCAATTAGGTCTGTTTTGAGATATCAACTCACTGAAGACAATGGTATACGGTGGCGTAACTTCGTGGATTGGTTGAAGTTACACATTAACACCGTTGGATGCCGGTTGTGTCAGTGGTCTAGTTGGTTAGGCGCCTGGAGCAAGACTGATAGATCCTGTGTTCGAATCTCTTGGGGTTGTGGGATCGTGGATGAGTACTGATGAGGAGTCCCACAATAGGACGAAGCAACCATCCAGTGCTTCCAGGTTTTCCATTGTGATCTAGCTTCAAATAATAGAGTAGACTAAAATTAATTTTTCCAAGTCTAGAAATAATAACGATAACAACAAATTTAAACCAATCAAAATAATGATAATTGATTGACCAATCAATGATTAGATTATTGTCATATTGATTATAATACTCGGTTATAAAATTATTTTTAGTCTGGCACGCCCACAACCCACCACCACCTCTCTCCCCCCCCCCTCTCTCTCTCTCTATATATATATATACCAATGTTTATCATCTCATTTTAATTACAGTGAAACTAATCCAAGAGTTTGTAACACTTTCACACAAAGGATCAGTTAAATACCCTGACAACAGAACCATTAAAAAAAAATTTTTTTGTTTTTCATTTCGGAGAAAAAATTTTTTTTTCTTTTTGTGATTATTATTACTAGTATTATTATTAATATTGAAAAACACGAAAAAACCGCCGCTAACGACAACTTATAAGTTGAATCATTTAATTGATTATATTTCAGTGTTACATCATTACGTTTTCCTTCATCTATTTCAATAACTACATCATCATTCAATGGTTCGTTATCATTTTCATCAAGTTCAATTTCTAGTACAAAACCATTATCACCACAATATCAAATTAGTAGTATTCGTCAATCTATACCAAGAGCAAATAATTTAGTGGATATAAAAGTAAAACCTCAAAAATTAAATCAATCTCATAAAAAGTCATATGATTATCAAAATATTAATCATTATACAGTGAATAGTGATATCAGTAATCCGTGTAATAATAATAATAATAATAATTCATCTGGAACCCGAAGTAATAAATTACAACAGAAAACACTTACTACTCCAATATCATCATTATCATCGACAAGAATAACAACAACAACAACAACAACAACGTCAATAACAGCAGTGACAGCAACCTCACCTATAACCACGACTGTACCAGGATCATTAATCTTGAATATTAAACAACAACAACAACATAGACAACAGAATACTTCTAGTGATGTTGTATGCGATTCAACAACAACAATAACAACAACAGATGAACTACAATCACAACAACAGAACTCGTTATCTGAGCCTAAAAGTGCTCCAGTCAGTATTAGCCCTAATCATTCAAACAAATTAAATATATGCAATCAATTTAAAGCGTCCAGTTTTGAAAGATCAGGATTGAAATCTGTATCTGGTAAGTGTTGAAATTTATTCACATTTATTTGTTTGCTTGTGTTTGTTTTTCTATTTATTCATTTATATTATGTGTACATAATTCATTAAGAAAGATGATCATACTTATGTTGTGAGCTATACGTTTGTCAATGTTTGTCGAATGACGTTTCTATACAACACTGTGGAGTTGGACACTTGTTTTCATCAATAATGGGTATGGATTATGTCTTTTTTTTGGGGGGGGGTGTGCAGTGAGACTGCTACATTTCAAGCTGACCTTATACAAACTGATATCACTATTAAATGTTGTATAACATGTAAAAAAAGACGGTTAATTTGATGATAGTTTTCTCGTGAACATACAGATTAGTTGAATAACCATTGAAAACAATAAAGCTCTGAACAGATTTCCACATATCTATGAGATTATATCAAACTCATTTTAAGATAGTCAAGTCTAGTGAAGGATATAATAATATTCAGTCAAGATTTTTTTAACCTTAAAAGATATTCTATTTGGTATTATTTGGGACAAATGGTTTAGATTACTTACTTACTTACGCCTGTTACTCCTAATGGAGCATAGGCCACCGACTAGCTTTGGTTAGCGTTTGTTTAGCGAGTTAGTTTTCTATGGGATGGGATCGGTAACCCCATGTCCAACCGTCCTCCTTTATCCAGGCTTGGGACCGGCAGTAGCCCCCGGAGGGACTCCAGGCGGAGTTGGTTTAGATTACTTAAAGAAAAAAATGCAAATGAGAATAAAACAAACTAACCAGCTCTTTCTAAATTTTAATATTCTGTTAAAAGGACGATTTTTAAACTAAACTATCTCTAAATAAAACATACAGATTTCATGAACTATATATAAGTAATTGTTATAATCTCAAAAAGCGGATTCATGTATTGTGACAGTATCCATGTGATCTGGTTGTTTATCGTAAGAGTAGTTCTATTCTCTGCATCATTTATTGATTTACTCACTTATATTACTTGTAAGATCAATGATTTTCTATGTTATCAATGACCCAATGATCAATGAACAACAACAACATATACCTGAATGAGTATTGGTTCTTTAATTTCGTTTAACCTACTGTCGAATCAGAAGACGAAGTTAGTAAGCAGAAATTTCTATTTTACTCAATATATACCATTGACTTAAAAATCGTGTGTTAATATAGATTAACTGCCTAACCACAATGCAATATACACACCACCAGCTCATAAATAAGTAGGAGGGGAATAATCAATTAATAATAAGTCTGGAATGGTACAGTAGATAACAATGGTTTATGGGTCATATGAAAATCAAAGAATAGAAGACTATAGGGATACAATATTGAAATCGTTTAATAACCTTTCAGTAGGAAATATAAACAGTAATCCCACATAGGATAGTTTTGAGGGTTCAACCTCGTTCAAATTCTCTTCAAGTTGATAGTAATCTATATACTTTAACGCATTATATAACCACCAGTATTGTGAATACGTACTACATAACTAATTCATTACATGAAGCAAGTATAGATTTATGTCCTTGTCTATTAATCGTTATTATTGATACCATCCAAATGTTTGAACAGAGTCAGTCAGTCAGCTAAAACGTAGGACCAGGCACATATATGCATCAGTCCAAGTTGCCATACCTCACCATCACAACAAGATGAACACCAAATTCATAGAAGCAGTCATTTCAATGGTAATAATATATAAAAACAAAAATTGCATATAAGGATATAATACATGAAGGAACAATTAGTTCGTAGAAAGAAAGGTACAAAATAATTTTAACCCCACGGTTTAAGGAAAGGTAAAGAGTGTATACACCTGTGCCATTGTGGTTGATTCTCAGTTTTAAATCACTCAGAGTCTCTAAGCATTGGTTGTGACTGTCACACGGACCCCAATCAAGTGGTTTGCATCTACCAACATGGCTCAGATCAGAAGTTAGTGACTTCAAGCACTGATGCCACGTTTCGGTTTGGCTGCCCCTGACTTCTCCAACACTAATCAGCATTGAGCGTTGTGGTAATTGGTGTTCAGGCATACATAAAACGTGGCCCAACCATCTCAGTAGATGTAGAATCACAAACTCATGAGCTGATTTACCATCATCACTCCCTAATACCCTGCATCTAACCTCACCATTACTTACCTAGTGTTACGAGCAGATGCCAGTAATAATTCTAATATATGAGGAAATACTAATAACTTATGAATATCTTACAGAAGTCAATTAAATTGGACTTCAATATCCTGGTTAATAATTTAATTTCAAATACTTTTACTAACAAAACTACTATTTATCAAACGAATTTTTATCAGAAGGGGTTTTGTGGAGATCTTAGAGATTCCACGGTTTGAAATCATGAGTCAATTGAAGCTAGATCACAATGGAAAACCTGGAAGCACTGGACGGCCGTTTTTCCTAGTATGGGACTCCTCAGCAGTGCGCATCCACGACCGCGCACCCCACGCGATTCGAACCCTGGACCTATCAGTCTCGCGCCAGGCGCTTAACCAACTAGACCACTGAGCCGACCGGCATCCAACGATGTTAATGTCTAACTTCAACCAATCCGCGAAGTTGCGCCACCGTATACCATTGTCTTCAGTGAGTCGATATCTCACAACAGACCTGGTCGAACTTCACTGGTAATTGCTTCTCACTAGAATTCCAGGAGTTCCATACTAGGACGAAACGGCCGTTCAGTGCTTCCAGGTTTTTCATGGTGGTCAAGCTTCAATTGACTCATGATTTAAATCAGTGAAACGAATTTTTTAAAAAGAAATTATAGTTTAAATGATCTTATAAACGTTTTCAATAAACATTCCCTCTCCTACCCCCCAGACCATCCCCCCTAAAAAACCCTGAAAATTCTCACATCTTATTCATTTGTTCGATCATAATTGTTACTAACACGTTTAAATGTAAATTGTACTGTAACGATTTATTGTGTGATCTATTTGAAAAAGGAATTTCAATAACCTATACACATACTTTTGTTTTTCAATACAAATTAAATGTGAAAGAGTTTCCATTGTGAAACATTTGAGAAAATTGTTTAGCGTGAGATTGATCTGAATAGAATGGAACTTGAATTAATTATTATGTAATTACTGTTTACACATACATACATACGTACATACATACATAGATACATACGTACATAGATACATAGATCAACTTGTGAATGATAAATAAATAATTAATTAATTGGAAACACTTTACAATACAGTTTAGTTAAATAACAAGCATTTCAATAAGGTATGTATAATTTCGATTGAGATCATGAATCGATTGATGTTGGACCACCGCTGAAAACCTGGAAGCACTGGATGGCCGTTTCGTCCTATTGTGGGAGGTTAGAAATTAACACTATTAGATGCCGGCTCGGCGGTCTAGTAGGTTAAGCGTTCGCGAGTGGGATCGTGGATGAGCATTGCTGAGGAGTCCCACAATAAGACGAAACGACCGTTCTGTGCTTTCAGGTCTTCAATGGTGGTCCAACATCAATCGGTTCATGATCACAATCAAAAACTTATCAATCTCCACAACCCCGAAACTGATTACACTTTTTAGTTGTATAGAACGAAGATAAGAATAACGTATATAAAAAATGGAAGCATACTCTGCTTGGACTGAAATGGTACAGTTGAACATAGATCAGTTCAATCTCTTGTATATCATCCATAGTTGTTTCGTAAGATACAGTCACCGTTGGTGTAAGCATGGAATTAAAAAAAATTTTCTTAGTTGGATTTAAATAAATTGCCAAAACCTCAGGAAAACTATAAGCTACAGCGTGACCATATGAGAGAATTTCGAGAGAGAGAGAGAGCGAACCCATCCACCATCGGTCGTATCAAGACATTTTCGCGTCTTAGAGCAACAATTGTTTATTATTGTATTGTCATTTTCCGTGTATCCTGAGCTTCCGTTGGACTCACTAAGTATTGTTATACTTCGTAGTAATTATTTACCACTTACTCACATTCGACTTCATTCTGAAAAAATTTTAATTTCTTATTTGCTATGTATTGTGGCTTCATCATTAATCTACATAAAGATATTAATTATTGAGCTGTAAGGATTAAATAATAATCCAACATTTGTCTGTTTGTTATGTTCCTACATCTGGCTGGATACCGGTTCAGAAGAGTCCTGAACCAATAGATTAGCAGTCACTGCTCAAGGTTAATTGCTGTCAGTTGGAATGTGTAAATGGTCTATAGCTGAAAAGCGTACCCGGATTAATGAAGTATAAATTGGATTTATATGACTTACTTACTTACGCCTGTTACCCTACGTCGTGTAGGAGATAGGCCGCTCATCGGCATTCTCCATTCAACTCTGTTCTTGGCAATCCTTTCCAGTGGTTTCCAGTTCCCATCCATTTTTTTCATGTCTGTATCTAATTCCCGACTAAATATGTTCCATGGTCTTTCAATCTCCATTTTGTCTTCAGGATCACAAATTACGGCTTGCCTCATGATGCAGTCTGATGATCTCCTGCATGTGTGACCTATCCACTTCCAACGTCTTTTCCTCATTTCGTACTCAGCTGGATGTTTGTTTGTTCTCTCCCACAGTAGATTGCTGCTGATGGTATCTGGTCAACGGACACTCAGTATCTTACGTACACAATTGTTTAGAAATAATTGAACATTTTTATGATGGTTGTAGTAGTTCTCCAAGTTTCAGCTCCATACAGTAGAACTGTCTTGATATTCGTATTGAAGATTCTCAGTTTGATGTTGGCCGAAAGTTGTTTTGAGCTTCCTATATACTTCAATTGTTGGAATGCTGTCCTTGCATTGGCAATCACTACCTTTACGTCTGCATCACATCCTCTTTATTCATCGATGATACTACCATATACGTGAAAGTTTCCACTTCTTCCAGAGTTTCTCCATCGAGTGTGATTTGGTTGGTGCTCTCCATGTAGTATTTGAGGATCTTGCCTTTTCCATTGTGTATGTTGAGGCCTACTTATGCAAAGTCGTCTACTACAC